CAACGATACTACAGTGAGAATAAAAGTTACGCCTTCTTTCTTTGCTTGAACATTTGGGCGGCGTTATGCAAATCTTCCCACATAGTGACGTAGATATGTGGGGGCGTGTTAGAACGAGCCGTTTTAGGTAGGTGTGGCTGACTCTTAACTTTTATAAAGAATATCTCTTTGGATTTGAGACTTTAGTCTTTGCAACTTTACAGATCTTCTTTATGCACCAAGAGCTTGTAACACTCCAAAGAGAAAGGAAAAATTTAAATCGCATCATATGACCCCTTTAAAGGTGCCATAGAATGCATTGATACAATATTTTAAATTGTTCTCTGATATCTACATAGAAGGTATGTGGCTTAGGTAAGGGCAAAAAATCTCCAGAAATGGTTTTACATGTCCATTTACAACCCTAGGATTTGTCCCTAGAATTAAATGGTCTGTTTTTACCTTATTTGGAAGGGTAGTGCGGCTCAATGTTGAGCTCTGCTCTGATTGGCTGTTTCACAGTGCGGCTCAGTGTTGAGCTCTGCTCTGATTGGCGGTTTCACAGTGCGCTCATTTCACAGGGAAAATATATATTTCAATACTTTCTCTCGCAGTTATATCGTTGGGTAATTATACTCTATATAAAATGCGGACATCAGGGAGCCGCTATTAATATGCGGGACATTGAAACTGCTTTCGAATGCACGATTGCGTTTTACTTTCACTTTCGAGATTTGCGATCGCACGTGATCTGTGTAAACTACAGCGGCAGTACTTACCACACATTTTACAAGATCAGATGCTTGTCAGTGGTGCTCAGGATCTGTAAATCATTCGCCATCATCCTCAGTCATCTCTCCTTACTCTGTTTATGTGGTAAGTGAAATCTTATGTACTGTAATGTAACAGGCTACCGCTAGCAAGCAGCTAACCATGTCCCTTTAGTGGCTCGCGTTATTTTATTAGAACGCGCGTTATTTGCTTTCCGTGCCTTTCCCCTGCACAGCCTGGAACATAACATTTATTTCCATGATCTGCCATTTTCGCTATTATCCTCGCTTGTTTCTTCACAATACCTGCAGAACTTCTGATGATTCGGCTGTGCAGGTTCGGCTGGCATAGAACATGGGCGGGTATATGCAAATGTTGGGGGCGTACATATTAGTGATCCCGACTGTAACGTCACAGTCGGTGTTATGTTCTGATTCGCCTATTTTTCAGTGGTCTTTTGAATGCACAAGATTTACATCAGTGTGTGTGTCCTCACCGTGCCCCGACGCAGGGCAAACTGAATGGAGTCTAGATCGGACACAGGGCACCAAATCTCAGCGATCAGACACTTCTGAGTGACATCAATGTTGCAGAGGTTCAGAGTGTGATAAATGGCTTTCATCTTCCGGACCTTGATGAACCATACTCGGACAGTCTTGGCAGCCGCCTGCAAAACACGCTGCCTGTGATCCTCTGTCTGATTCAGCACCTGGAACACACAGCAGAGAGGAAGAGGAGGAGTCAAAACAGGAAACATGAGATCACTGAACAAGTGCGGTGATATAGTCACAATTAGAGCTGAAAGAGCAACCCGAGAGGCCTGACTCTGAGTAGACTGCAGTTTAGTGTCAAGTCTGACATGGAAACACGGTAATGTTCAATATCCTATAAATGTCTGAATGCATTTCAGAAAAAAACTGTTGTGAATATATCTTTTGTATGGCTGATGTTAAGTCAGGTGAATTACACACTGAAACGGTTCTCCGTTTAGTTTGAATCATGACAGAAAAACATTTGGGGTTCAGTGAGGGAGTTCAGTAAAGATAATTGATTCAAATCGTTCCTTTGCTCATGAGCTTGTAAATCTTTTTGAGGAACCATCAGTAGAGTCATTTGTTTTTTGCATAGAACAAAAAAAATCTGAAGTATTTAGCCAATGCCACCACACTTTATTCACAATAGTTGCAGGTGTTATACAGAGCTATTGCAAGAATAGCGACAAATAGGTGCTCAACTTCAGTTATTTGTTCATTGAAAAGTATACAAGCACCCTCCGTCAGCTATTGTATGAACAGGAAAATTCAAGAGCCACACCTCTTGGTAAATATGTTTGTGAATCCCAAACATTGGTTGTGTGAACGTAGCCAATATAACTTCTATTTAAGTAAGGTGGATTTCTCAATCATTCAGGAGTGGCCAGGGAAGCGTGCCAGTATCTGGTTGGCATGTTAGACAGATAAAGTGGCTACATTAACGTCCAAGTGCGCATTCTCGCTCACACGTGTGGGACATACGCAGCCGCCCACTCTAAAATCAGACACAGTTGCCCACGCTAGAATATCCCACATGCTCACCCATGCTGGAAACATATGGAGACTCACCCGCGCTGACAAATCAGGCAAACTCGCCCACTCAGGTATTTATGTAATCCTTAATAATGTGTCCCAAAGAGCTTCCGTCTTGCTCAAACAGCAACAGAAACGCACAAACATGGCATGTGTACTATACTAAAATGGTACCAAATTCTCTCCAAATCTGTGAGAGGATCACAGGGACATTAACGATTCCTGCCTGACAGGCACACACACGTGCATAGTGACCATTCTCTCTCACCTCAGGGGCAAACAGGCCCGCTAATAGCTCGAAGTGAGTCAGTGACATGGAACTCGAGCGCATACTCAGTCCCGGCCCTGTCAGCACTCTTGTGCTTGGATATGTTCCTTCATTTCTTTTGAATAGTCAGAGAGCAAACAGATATGCATGTGGGTTTTCAGAGGGTGTGGGATAAGAGAGAATCAGCGAATAAGTGTGGTGAACAAGAACAAACTCCCTCAGTATGTGGATATGCACAGACAGGAACTCTCACTATGAGACAGCCGCTGTGAAAAGCACCTTACAGTTGTAACTGGTTGTAATGCAATGACAACAAGAGTTTCTTTTCAGATTTTTGTCGATCGATTTCTATGTTGTCATGTTTTGAGGGTAGCCTTGCCTATAATGGCCCAAAATCTTGCTCCACACAGCTGTCTATAGACCTTAATCAGGTATTTTGAATTTAACACAGATGAAAATGAGGCTGTGAGGGACAGATTTACAGTCTTTACAACAGAACGCACTGTAAAGGTCCTAGATCATGTGATTTAGACAACTTTCAAAGCTGTTTTATGGAGTTTTTGTCTACTGAAAGTTTATTTCAAAAAGACGTTTAATAAGCTGAACAATCGGTATGATGTTAAACAACAGTACATTCCATTGAATATACTGTACTTCGAACCCTTTACATTTTCATTCCTGTCAAAAATTAAATATGGCACAACCCTGAATAAGGTTTATTAAGAACAAATTCTGATTGGCTGTGATATTACTGTATGTGATATCACTGTCAGCGAGTGTAGAAAAATGGCATGATGCAGAAACTTGTACGTGCCACTGTGCAGACACTGAATAAATCTAACGTAAGAAACTAAACAGCGGTGATAAACTGCACTGCCATGTGCTGAAGGTCTAAACTGTGTGGGCATCTGTGCGGGTGGGAAGCTATGGGTACTATGTAAATGTGTGAGGACACACTCACCCAAAGTTTTCCTTCCCAAATAAGGCACTGTGAGAGATTCTCTCAAAGACCCAGTGCTGAAACACCATCCAAGCAGTCCCCCATTACGTCTACTAGTAGTCCCTAATGACTCACTGAGGGAGATTCCCTCAGCCGTACAAACCGACAGATACAGACTGTGCACTGACACAGCCAGTGGATAATTCAGTCAAATCAACCTGCACTTTACTGTATGTCTGTTAGTTTAATCTCAGCTCAAGAGAGGGAATAAAAAAGAAAAACAGAGAAGAAAATGAGAAAAAGATCTGAAGTCTAATCCAGAGGTTTTCAAAGTGATACACACCCGCAGGGGGCGCCACAAGCCAAAAAAAACTGTTTAACATGAATTAAAATAAATTAAAAATAAATACATTTAATTAAATAGCCATGCACTCTCATATTATAGAGACAAAGTGATCTGCAATAACTGTGAAATGCGAAATAATCTTATTGACATAAGAGCAAAAATAGATCAAAATTTAAATTATGTGGGCAACAGGAAATATTTAGGGTCTGTTTATAGTATCATGTAAGTTGCTATGATTAAAAGCATTGCCAAATCAAATGCATATGTAATTTATATGACACAGTCAGAGCACAGTGTTTTTTGACATTTACTTGTAATTTATTGTTTAACCCTAAAACTGGCAACGTATCCTGTGGGATACAAACATTTGAGAGGCTGTGGGGAGAGGCAGGGAAAGTGTAGGTCTCATTTCTTGGTTTCATGTTG